TTGACCACTAACACCTAGGACAGGTCTTAAATATACGAGGACTAGCTGGGTGTGTAGTGGTGTAATAGCTCAAACAGCAGTGGTCGGGATTGCCGGGCAAATACTGTCGAGCTACGTAATGCGTGTAGTGTATTTATGTGTATTGTTTGTGTGTTATGTGTGTATATATGTGGGTGTGTGTACAATAATTAAACTAAGATAAAAAAATGGTAACACGATTGCTGGTAACTAACTAGTTGCTGTATAATACAAAATCTAAATAATAATGGTACAAAAATATAAAAAATCACAGCAACACAGTAGGTATAAAAATATAATATCAAAGCCCTTATGGCTATAACAGTAGGTAGATAATATTGTGGCCCTTATGGCTCAACAGAAAAACGGTATATATAAATGCCGGCCCTTATGGCCAAACAAATATCAATTTAATAAAATAATAAAAATAAAGGTTTAATTCACTGCAGCTATTAGAGCTACGTGAAAATATAAAAAGATTGGCCCTTCTGGCTCAACAGAATAGAAATAGTTTAAAAATAATAATAATGTTCGGCCCTTCTGACCAAACACAATATAAATATAAGAATGTTATGCGCCCTTCTAGCACATCAGAATATAATAATAATTGCAACAAAAAAAATATAATAAATAACAAAATAACTCACAGTGGTTTGTGGAGCGCAGACTGGCCAGCTGGTCCTATGCTACAATAATATAAAATACATGCACGACAATGATATAATTAACAACAATATGATATATGCTGCCTTTATGGCTTACAATGGTGGAAATAATATATACACGATACAAAAAAGGATTATATATAAAAATAATTTATTATTTTACTTAGAGCACTGGTTACTAGTTGTTATAAAAATTGACAATAATAATTTGTAGGTAGAAACGGTCGGTACAACGTACGGGCAGAGACAGACATTTACGGCGGCCGTGCTAAGTAAATATCCGCGTAGACGGAGCGGCGGCACGATATCATTTAATCTACATATTATATAACTCACAAGACATTTAAATAGGTACATACAAAAATAAATATTATGACAACAGGTGATAGTGTGTGTGTGTGTGTGTGACCGGCTATCCTCGCTGCCCGACAATGATATTATAATTTAAATGATGCGTATATACTATTATTTAATTATGTTGCGGCGGCAACAGACCCTATGGTGTACACTGATTGAGAATTAATACCCTTTAGCTCATATATTATGTTCTCATCCACCAATATATCCTTCCTTAGTTCTGATAGTTTGATTATATTTACTTCACTCCCGGTATCTACTATTAATCTTACATTTTTTTGAATACACTGTACAATTTTGAGACACGTGGAATTATTTACAAGTCTTGCTGAGAAGTGGAAGGTCGCTGCAGACTCAATACAGCGCTCTGAATTTGCTGAACCGATCGTGCGCTGCTCGGATTCGGTTCCACTCCGTTTCCCGCATTTTGTTGTTCTGTTGAAGCTTATTTTCTACCCTGTTGCCTTTTACTATTTACATATTGCATTTTTCAGCATACTTCTAATTCATGTCCTTCCTTTTTACAATATCTGCAAACTAATACTGATTTTGTGGGAGTTTTCAAGTTATTTTGCTGCCCATTCTGCTGACTGGCTTTGAATCTCTCCTGCTTCCATGACGACGCTCTGCATTCCCTGGCAAAATGGTTAGTTCGCCCACACTTAAAATATCCCTTACTAATGTTGCTGTTTTTGCTACTATACTGTAAATTCTTTAATGCGAAAAATCTTAGTCTTTTCCTTAGCCAGCTTTTTGAAATCGGGAACTCGTGAAGAACAGCTTATGCGGAATGTGTCCTCAAGGTGAGAGTCTGTTAATTTTGTCCAATATTCGTTTTTCAAAAAATAAATTTTTGAAAATGATGCCTCACAATTAAATGTCGAACCAAACATCGTAGCCAAGTTGATTGCCAGTTGATTACAGTTTGAATACTTGTCAATGGCATCCTTAGACCAAAATTCTTCAATTGACACACTACTGTACTGCTTCAAGGAAAAATCTCCCTCTAGGTCTATTATTTCCATTTGAAGTTTTGACTTTGAAACATTAAATAATTTTTCATCTAAATCAGTCCATTCTCCAACTGGAAGAACGTCGTAAGGAGTTTTTAAGAATTGTGACAGTTTTCCTATTTCAGAAAAGTCTTTTAATCTTATCCTTCATAAGATCTGACAAAAAACATAAAAATGTTTCTATGTTGACAATTTCAGAATAATTTTTGTATTCAAATATTGTGGGAAAGTGAATGAATTTTTACAAAATTGACATTTTTTCAGAATCAACTAAGTCACAAGATTCATCAAGCGCAATACAGTAGCACAGTAACTTATGTTAAAGTTCAAATAAGCTTTTTTGTCCAACATTTCTATCCTTCTTTTGTTGCTCCTTGCTACAAAGGTATATATTGAAAAGAGGTAACATTTTTTTATTTCCTTGAAAAAGTGCAGTGGAAACTTCCAACATACACTTTTACTATTTTGGAATCGGAAAATGGTTTATGGTGCTAATTAAGAACCAAGCACGCACGCAACGCTGCTTCAGTTAATTTCTCATGTTCACTCATACACCGTATAAGTGTAGTCATACTATTTTCGTTAGATAACATATATGCACGGAGCTTATTTTTACGCACTTCAATGCCTTTAGGAAATTTTGTATGAAAATCTTTCTGAGTAGTTTCATAATGCCGTTTTAAATTTCCACTTTTAATTATAGCGACAGTTGAATTGCAAATTAAACAGACTGGAATGGCTCCAATCCTTTCAGTCAATTCAAAACCATATAGTCCAGTTCACTCGTTCATAAACTGCCTATTTTCGCTGTCAATTTTGTGTTTTCTACTCAACATATATTGAACGAATAATATAAAACGAAACACACACTCAGTGTATCCACCTGCGAATGTACAAGTACTAAATCGCTATCTAAATTGTTATTTAGAAAATACTGGGGACAGCCAAATAATACAACAATTTCAATGGATAGCAACGATAAGCAATAAATATAATTTTACGCCGTCAGTTCTTCGGAGTTCTTAGAAAATAATCAAAATAATATTTGGTATTGTCTCGACTCGGCCGTCGGCCGATAACATCGTAATAAAACCGATTATTACCTGCCCGATGAAATATTTGCAATGAATTACGATATAACTATAATCTGAGTTCGATAAATTTAATTAAATAAGTATTCTCTATTAATTATAATACTATTACTTTAAATGTGTTTACATTGTACAGAGTTTTGCCTTCCGAGGTTCGGATCCGGGCCGCGGTCCGCCAGTTGCCAATCCCTGCTATAGCCTATAATAATCCAACACAAGTGGAGTAGATGCTCTATTAATTTACAACTTACACTATAAATTATAGCAGTTTTTATATTCTAAGAAGAACATGTTATGCGTGGAAATGAATACGACAGACAAAATCCCCCCAATTTAAATATTAATTAAACTTACCGGCTATACCGTGTAGTAAGTGATAACAATTACTTATTATAAAAACTATTTATTATACATTTATTGAGTTATACAGTTTTCTAGGGGGGTGAATCTAGTTTTTAAATCAATAATTACCCTATGCATATTTTTCGATAGTTTGGGCAAACTTAAGTCAAATTTACTGACATCATTTTTTTTTTAAAGCGACTACATTTCAAATCAGATAACGTAACAAAGTATTTATTCATGAACTCACCTTCAATGTTTAATTTTTACTGTTGTTAATATTATGAAGTACAATTTCTTATTATCTTTATACAGCAACATAATAATATTTAAAGAACTAAATTATTTAAAGTAAACAAACAAATATCTATATTATAAAGTGAATACATTTTAAATTAGTAGTTAGAAACTTGAGCTTGTCGTTTCGTACACAAAATATCAATACGTGCTCGAATTGAAGACAAACAGACACACATTTCTTGATCAACGGAAATAAACCTCTCCCGTTTTTTGTTTTTTTATGTTTGTAAGTGCCGAAAGCTTAACCCACACATATAGGTGTGTTTTGGCACCGTCGGGCTACTACGTAAACCGGCGTTCAGCCCAGCGAATCGGATGACGAAAGTGTAGGGAGGTAAGGTAACACCGTTAAACCCTAATATATATTATAGACCACATTTAGGTGGCTATCTTTGAACACAGTATATTATGGTGAGTTTGAGTATAATAATTAGGTAATAACAATAAAAAACAATGGGCTGACGGGGACGTCTCCCCGTATCAGCGTACAACAACAATAATGAAAACAGACTGGCTCGCACTAGAGCGTGATAATATAGGTAACGCTAGTAGGTACAATAATACACAACGACAGTAAAATTATGCACGATACCGAACGACGACAGTAGTTGAGCGGAGGTGGGTGGCGTCCTTGACCGACGGTGCACTCGCGCCGATGGTGGCTGCACGTGCGGCGGCCAGTAGACCGGTCTCTCGGGAGCCGGGGGCGCGTTCTATTAATGACAAGTCCGGCGGCGCTTGGCACTCGCGAGTCCAGCGGCGGCAGCGTTATATTTACGTAAACGACGCACGGCAGTGGTTTTGAGCGCCCCCTTAAGGCTAAGCTCGAACGCACAGCACCTTTACACAGCGTGTACTCATAAAGAACGGACGAGCGGATACGAGGACAAACCCGTGGCCAACGACAAAACGCTACACGCCAGGCAAGATATTGTCATCCGCTCGCTCCGCGAAGTACTGAGTTACTGAGAACACCGGACCAGTTGCACGGGCGCGCAGCTTTCGTTCAACGACGCTTATCGGCGTTCGTACTTTGAACGCCAACGGCTCGCTCACCCGGTGCGGCTGATTAGGCTGGGTCTACAAGTAACAGCGCTGAGTTTCGAACAAGGTGGTTGAAAAGTGTAACAAAATGTTGATTGCTTCATCTTCTATTACAGGATATTCTGTCTTTGCATACATCCAAAATCTACTTAATGGTAGTTCATTATATTTCAGTCGTAGTGTTCTATCCTCCTGAGTTTCTGCCATCTGTTCTTCTTTCTCAAGAGATAGATCATCTGTTGATTCTGCCGAAGTAGAGTAAAGATTGCGCACACAATCATACTTGCCAACTGAGATAGGGGGAAATACTGGTCCATGCTGTCCTCAAGACCTTTTAGGTGATTTAAAACTAGTTGAGTGGTTATGTCCCCCTGAGGATCTATATCAATAATTAAAGGAAACATCTTTAAACTTTTATTTTCTACATGCCGTTTCAAAACTTGTAGTATCTTTAAGAACCCTTTAAATTTATCACTTGAGGTCAGGACATTTTCTTCTTTTCCTTGAATACTTTCATTTAAGCAGTTTAAATGATAAAATATATCAGCAAAAAATATATCGTTCAAATACGCAGCAAAATCTGGGTTTTCAGTGCTAAAGAGTTTTGACAGCTCGTTTTTAACCTCATAAAATGTCTGCAGGAGTTTACCTGTCGATAACCAGCGTATCTCTGTATGAAGAACCAGAGTATCATGTTTAGATCCCACTTCATGACACATTTCTTTGAGAACTATTGTCTTCAGAGCAATTTATTTAATGAAATTTACCATGTTTAAAACTAGGTTCAAAATACTTTTCAATTCTGCAGGAATAGCTTTCACCATTAAGTCCTCGCGGTGTATAAAGCAATGTGTTGAACTCACAAGTCACTTGACTGCGGATGCGCTTTGTTGTATACCCAATCCCCTACTGACAGATTGATGCTTCCCGGGGATTCTAGGGGTAAATGGGTACTGGGGGCTTGGTGGCCGGAAACCACCGCATAACCCCCCTATACCACAGGAGCATCATCCGGTTCCACCTGAGAATCTTCGATTTCTACCGAAGGGTTCCGCACTGATCCGGACAACTCCGGATCATTTTTTAATGAGTCCGGAGATCCTTCGGCCAGCTCGAGCTGCCAATCTCCGGGGGCCTTGATCTCCCGGCCAATTATCATTTTGGCCGGTGACTGTCCGGCGTTTCGCGTTTCTCTGTTTCTTAACTGTGTTAACTTATCTTGTCATGGTTCGTCAGCCTATACGCAATTACTAAGTATATTTTATAACTTTATTGTGACTAACTTAATTCATTTTACTATAAGGCATTAGTATTAAACTTGTGAACTTGGCAGCGCAAAATTAGCAGACATCGATCCAATCAATCCAAAAAAATTTGTTGGTGGATTGTTTTACATTGTTGGACGACTTACAAAATTTGTCCAACAGTGTCCAACAAATGGAGACGAACAAGTCTACCACAAAAACATGTCCTAACAAACAGTTGCGCTGCTGGCGTGAATTTGACAGAGCAAAATTGGAAATTGACCCCCCGGTGAAAATAATGTCCAACAATGTCCAACAATCCAACACCCAATTTGTTTCATTGATTGAATCGATGTCTGCTAATGTTGCGCTGCCAAGTTCACAAGTTTAATACTAATGCCTTATAGTAAAATGAATTAAGTTAGTCACAATAAAGTTATAAAATATACTTAGTAATTGCGTATAGGCTGACGAACCATGACAAGATAAGTTAACACAGTTAAGAAACAGAGAAACGCGAAACGCCGGACAGTCACCGGCCAAAATGATAATTGGCCGGGAGATCAAGGCCCCCGGAGATTGGCAGCTCGAGCTGGCCGAAGGATCTCCGGACTCATTAAAAAATGATCCGGAGTTGTCCGGATCAGTGCGGAACCCTTCGGTAGAAATCGAAGATTCTCAGGTGGAACCGGATGATGCTCCTGTGGTATAGGGGGGTTATGCGGTGGTTTCCGGCCACCAAGCCCCCAGTACCCATTTACCCCTAGAATCCCCGGGAAGCATCAATCTGTCAGTAGGGGATTGGGTATACAACAAAGCGCATCCGCAGTCAAGTGACTTGTGAGTTCAACACATTGCTTTATACACCGCGAGGACTTAATGGTGAAAGCTATTCCTGCAGAATTGAAAAGTATTTTGAACCTAGTTTTAAACATGGTAAATTTCATTAAATAAATTGCTCTGAAGACAATAGTTCTCAAAGAAATGTGTCATGAAGTGGGATCTAAACATGATACTCTGGTTCTTCATACAGAGATACGCTGGTTATCGACAGGTAAACTCCTGCAGACATTTTATGAGGTTAAAAACGAGCTGTCAAAACTCTTTAGCACTGAAAACCCAGACTTTGCTGCGTATTTGAACGATATATTTTTTGCTGATATATTTTATCATTTAAACTGCTTAAATGAAATTACTTAGTAATTGCGTATAGGCTGACGAACCATCATCGCTCAGAATCGTTTTTCGTATAGGTACAGTTAATTTATTCATAGAATGAATTTTATAATTGAATTAAAATTTAACACATCCATTATAAAAGTGTATTTTTTATCTATTAAAATTTCTAATAAAACGAGTTTTTTCTTTTTAAAAATTATAAATTGAATACATGGCTTGAAGGATCTAAAGTTGACTTAAAAACTAAACAAAATCTTTTTTCAAAATGTATATCACTGTGAAACTCAAGTCAGTATGTCAGAACTAACTTACAATATTTTTCAGTTAAATAATTTAACTTAAGTCATTTTATGACACGCGCTTGCGAGATTTGAGAGAGAGATGATACCCAGCACGCTGTGAAATGGTTCAAAATTGACTTCATATTAAATTCATATATGTTTCCAAAATTATTAGGTATTGGAGTAAGACTCAAGTAAGCATTAATTGCATGGAACGCGTATAGGTGGATTTTCCTGCAAAAAAACAGTAGTGAATAGAATCCCTTTAAAACTGAAAATTGTCTAGATAAGATGGATACATAAGATACATAAGATGTTATAGAATCTAAAAGTGGTCGAACTGGGGGGATAAGGTGGGATGGCATCCCTTAACTTTTTATAATTTACATTTTCCATCCCTAAAGTTTTTCGTCGAAAATAATGTATCCCCCTTATAATTAATTTCATATATGAAAACTGTATAAAATATGAAAGGCATCCCTCTACGTATTTTAAACCACTTCGACCACTGGAATCTACAGATAAAATCTTACGAGTATATAATAATATTGTAGTAAGCGAGTTACTACTTAACAAATAAAACAAATTCCACAGGTGTACAATTAGTATACTATACTGTAATTCGGCATATATCGGATATTAGAATCGGAAATAGGATTTCCTACTGGTTAACATAAGGAAACAGGCTCACTGAATAATATAATTACTCAGGGAGCCCTGTATACGACAATGTACAAATATAAAATATAAAATAGTAAAGTGATTATTTTTATTACAACACGGTACGCGACGATATTCAATATAAAAATATAATAGAGTAAAATGATTATTTAAATGAAATAGACCATAGATCAACATTTAGTAATACGCAGAATAATACTGGGAAGTCATAAAATGCGTGGGCTGGAACGATGACCACACCAGATCACATCCGTGTGCCGAGATACAGTATCTATAGGCAAAGGGTAAGGGGAACTTCATATAAAAGGGAGCCCGAAACGACCTGTATTCAGACGTGTACTACCAACCACTAGTGCAAGCACCTTCACGCCACTCTGTCTAACATTATTTGGACTTAGAAAATTATCAACGTTAAAATAAAATTCACAATAATTAACATCTGTCTTTTATTTATTCATCATCCACGACTACAACATCTAATAAAGTGTCTGCGACCTGCAATCATAATAACTTGGTTGCCACTTATCTACTATTAGTACTACGATAGTAGGTACCAAGCATCCAAGCTTATTACACTGGCGCAGTCGAGCAAAGGAGTTTCAAGGAGCTGAAGACGAGGCGAGCAGTCAAAGCGGCGGAATTAAATTTCCAAAGGCGAGTCGAGCAGTCAAGGCCGCGGATTTCAACTTCAAAGGCGAGTCCAGCAGTCAAGGCGGCTACATTCAACTTCGGAAATCCAGTCCCGACGCAGCGGCTACACCACGTCAGCAGCTCCACGGAGGTACAGTCGAGGTCTGATCAACCAAGGCGACTCCGGAATCAACGAACAATTCAAGACGGGCCAGCAGACAATCAGGGAAAAATGAATACAGCAGTGGCAACAGTGTTGTTGTGAGTATATTAATTAAGTGAAGCTAGATAACTAAATTAAAATTGTATAGCTTGAAGTGCACGTCTCACGTTGATTCATATAAATCAGCGTTTATTTTATACTTGGTGGTGGTGTAAAATATTAGGGAAAAATATTCGAATAAAAATAAATTTAAAAAAAAAATAGGAAACAAGCTTGGGAAGAACTATATACGTATTTTTTGATAGACAGCTGTAGACTGATCTAGGATTTTTATGGTAAATAGACGGCAAGGACCGATCTAGGATTTTTTTTTATAGGCAGCAGGGACTGACCTAAGTATTTTATGATATTTTGTGATAGACAGCGGAGACTGATCTAATAAATTAAAAGTAGACGGCGATAGGCTGATCTAAGAAATTGATGCACGCGCGTAGCATTTTTAAATTATATATGGAAATAATTGATTAAAGTGAAATATTGAATTTTTGAATTGAAATATAGAATGATAGGTAATTGTTGAAAGAAATTAAATGATATATATTGAAGAAAATAGATTTTGAATTAAAAGGCAGTAGATGACCTTATTAAAGTAATTGACGTCAAATTTTGAAAAGTTTTGGGGAAAAAGAATTAATTATAGGGGCCCTAGGATAAGAATTAGTATAACATTACTACGAATAAGTTGATAGAATAATTGTTAATGACAGAAATAATTAATTTTTAGTGTTTAGAAAATTAGATGGTAAAGCGCGTAAATTAAAAAATTAAAGCATTTAGAGAAAAATAAGTAAAAAGAAAAATAAGGGGATAGGAAGTCGAATATTATTAAAGGGATTTACGGCGTAATTAACCGGACATTTTTTATATAATATTCGAGCGTAGTACAAGCGCGTACGTAAAAAACATCGCGGAACAGGGCGAGGGAAACGGGTGAGGAACACCGTATCGAAATTTAACACGCGTAGCATAGGCGGTCGAACGTTTTACGTGTTATTAGATAGGTACTCATCCATTTCAACGTACAACGCGCGTTTACGTAATTTCTTTTTATTATTTGTGCATGATAGTTATTTTATAAGTAGTAAATTTTAAGTATTATTAATTTTGGTGACGGTAGTTACGTATTAATAATTTATAATTAATAATAGTATATATATGTAGAGTAAACACTGTTAGTAATTACTTACGCGGATAGGAAATTAATAATTTAGTAGATATAATTTATTGAAATTATATATATGTAATGTCTAGATAAATATATGTCAGAATCCGATAGTTCAGATATTGACACTAGTTCTACGGACAGTTCAATAAAAGTAAAAAAATATAAAACTAGGAAAGAAATAAAAGCGGAAATTTTAAAAGACGCTGTAAAGAAAGAATTTTTAGAAAAAACTAGGAAACAAGTAACTAAAACTGGAAAAATTGTTAAGGAAAAATTAGTAAGAACACATAGCTTAACAGAACAAATAGGTACCACG